TTCACTACTTACTATACATCACTCTTCCCTTTCCAGAAGTTTTGTAGTTGTCATTACTCAGACCTCATGATGCTCAGGCTAGACCAGATTTTAGAGTTGTGAATGGGATTCCTCTGCCAGGGTGATAATTGTGGGTATGGCAGATTCGGTCATTCATCTCTGGTGTGGTTCCAGGTAAGCCAGTTGGCATTGGAGACGAGTGATTTTAATTCTCCTTCACAAGCCAGGGATCCTCAACCCAGCACCTTGTTTCAGTTAGTGGGCCTATTTTTCTCTTACCTTTCCCATTCCTGCAAATGGGAAAAAGTTGGATCCCCCTCTCAGTAGAAACTGAAGCCAACCATTTCCCACCACTTACACTGCTACCATCCTTATCGAATCCACCAACACGTTTATCTAGATAACAGCAACAGCCTCCCAATTGGTTACTCCATTGCTGCTCTTGCCACCACATTCTCCCTTCTCCCCACAGACTATCCACCTCTGAGAAAACAAAGTGATCTTTCTAAAACATAAATGAAACTGCCTTATTGTTCTGTTGAAAGCCCTCCTAAGGATCTCTATGTAACCAGAATATCTTAACTCTTCACCATGGTTTATGTGACCCTAGATGACTTCACTGCTACGTGTTTCACCCATCTTGCTCTCCTTCTAATTCACTGCACCCTAGCAACACTGGCTTCTTTGTTTTTCAGCATTCCACACTGGATTTACACTGAGACCTCCACACTTGCTGTTTCCTCTGCCTCTTTCTCTTTGCTCAGATTTCAGCTCAAATATCCCTTCTTAAAAGAGGCCTTCTATAGCCACCCTAGGTGAAGTACCATGTTTATATTCTTCCATAATACTTGAATACTTAAAATACTTCCAAAGTATTCAAAATTATATTATATATTCATTTGTTGGTTGGTTTACTTGTTTTTGTTGTTCTTGTTTCATTTTTTTGTTTTTGTTTTGGTTTTTTTGAGATGAGGTCTTACTATACTGCCCCAGCTGGCCTCAAATTCCTAGCCTCAAGCAGTCCTCCCACCTCAGTCTCCTGAGTAGCTGGGATTACAGGGGCACACCACTATGCCCAGCTGGTTTACTTGTTTATTGACAGTTTCCTCCCTCTAGAAAAGAGCTCCCCAAAGAGTGCTGTGGTAATCTGTAGTGTTTGGAGGGGGTTATAGGTATGCTGAAGTATTGATTCCTTGGCCATCAAGGCTGCTCAGTTGGCCCTATGGTAGCCTGCCCAGACTCAAACATTTATTTCAGTTAACTGTACACATAATATTAATTAGCATGCTTGCCATTATATGGGAAAGACTGGGAAGTACTACACTAGAATATAAACTACTTCAGGACAAGAAAAAAGCTGAAACTGTTTCTAATAGCATTTATGTCTAGAAGAATGCTGGAGTGGCCACCAGACATATTTGGAAGAGATCAACCTTGGACACTTCATGCCACATGGCAAGATCTGTTTGATATCTGCAAACTGTGTTCCCTCCCTACCAAGCATTAACTGTCTGAGACTTCCTACTGGTTAATAATGACTCCACATATCAGAGAGATTTGAAAATTCAGGGATGCCTTTCTTCCACAAAAAATCTGCAAGACCACATTTATGTTTGATCTGTTTTAGTCAAATATTGGAGTTTTGATCTGTCTTGTTCATTCAGGAAATATTTACTGAGTAGCTACTACAGACCAGGCACTATACTAGGTGCTTTCCATATGTTATTTTAAATTGTAAAATATTTTGTGCAAGATATTTGTCTAAATAGCTATGTGTCTTTATAATTTCAGCTCAAATTGAAAAAAAGCCTAGAAAACCATTGGATTCTGTTGGTCACTTAAGAGATGATAGAAATAAAAGGTAACTTATTTTAAAATGCTTAATATTTTATTCCATTTGATGATGTTTCTAGTAGGACACATTTTATAATTGGCCAGAATGAATTTATTCCACTTTATTATTACATTTAGTTCCATAGTACACTCCAATGAATGTTCCAAGACTGCCTAGTCACTAGATATCACATCCAGACCTTGACTATTGTCAAATGGAAAGAAAGGCATGAAAAAATGAATAGAGAGAATACAATTATGTTTTTGTAGTAAATACACACATTTACTTACACTACAACATGGATGTGAAAAAGTAGCTCTTCTATGGATAAAGTTATCGGTTTTCTCATGAACCCTTCAGTCTCTATATAATGAAAAATATCGCTAATCCAGGGTGTTTCAAACTTTGAATCAGTAATAAACAACCACTTTAAATTGAATTCTGTTTAAAAACTATACCCTGTCTCTTCCTGACCACACTATTCTATCCTCTTAACAAAGCTGGGGCCACCCTATGTTGGCATGAAGCTGCCTTGTGAAGTTTATTCCAGAATTTCAATGTAGGATGTTGCAAATACCTCTCTACCTTTGGTGTTCTTCTCAATCTATATAATACAACTCCTCCTCACTCAAAAACCAAAGAGGCATACATATGACCCTCTTGCTTTCAGTCCTGCTTTTGCTGTTTTCTCCCACAAACTAGGCAGGAAGGGATGGTCTTGCTAGTTTGAAAATCTATGGGAGAGAGGTTGGTGCAGAAGTTGTCAGTGAATTCCAGGGATAAGGGGAAGCAGAGAAGAACTGACAAGCTGCAATTAACCCCATAAACATTTCCCTGAACTGTGTTTATTTTCAGAAAAAAGTCTCCACAGATGAATGATTTTAATATAAAAGAAAACAAATCAGTCAGAAATTATCGATTAAGTAAGTATTGGTCAGCAAGAAAGAAAAGCTTGCTCCCGTTGTGCTTTGAGGATGAATTGAAAAATCCACATGCCAAGATAATCAACATTAGTCCAACAAAGACAGTAACTTCTCACATGGTAATAAGCATATCATCTATTGTTAAGTAAATATGTGTAGTCATATGACTTACAGGAATCGCCCATGTATTTTAGTGACCAGAATCTTTGATAAATCCTTCTTATCCTTTGGTTTAATACTCTAAAGTGATAACAGCACTTAAGTTCTTAATGCTCTTTGCACAACCCCAGAACTGGGGATTCTTTTATACCAGCTGAAAATTCAGTGTTTTTCTTTATGAAGAAGGCTTTATCCAATTTGCTTCATCAAAATAGAACTATAGCATAAAAAGGATTTTTTAAAATGACTGTACCAATCTAGCAGAATACAATGGTGTGCACCTGTAGTCCCTGCTACTCTGGAGTCTGAGGCAGGGGCATTGCTTGAGCCTAGCCATTTGAATCAGCCTGGGCAATATAACAAGACCCCAGTTCAAAAATGATGGGACCATGACCATGTGTCGATTTTTCTAACAACCTGTTTTGGCTGTCTCAACCAGAAAGTGCATTTATTAAAGGCTATTTAGTAACTCATGGTCTCTAGAGAGGCAACCTGGCTCGAAAGCTGTCTATCAGGAATCACCTAATTATATAGCCCCAGACTGCTCCACTGAGGCCCATGCTCTGGTAACAGATAACAGTTTACAACTCCAACGCTGAGCAGGGAATATTCTAAAACATTTGTTACTGCTGTCGTTCAAAGCTAGATATAACTCCTACCACCCTCACTAGGATAGATTTTCCCAGTACTTTTTCACAGTCCTTGCTTCCTCTGAACTGAAGACTTCATAGGTGTATCTGATTGGCACAGCCTAGGTCACATGCCCATGCCCTAACCACAAAGAAGCTGACAAACATGATTCCTGCCTCTAGGTAAAGGTGCATAGACTTGTCAAGTGGAAAATTCCCTGAGGTGTTGGACAGACCAAAAGTGTCACAAACATTCATTACTGTGGCTGAATCGGTAATACTGGCATCACCAGTGGACTGCAAAACTAGATCTTTGCCATTATTTTCAGTAATCATAGCCGACTTGGCTGATACTGTGATAAAAATGGTCTATTCTTAAGTCAATCTATTACTTTGGCTATTTTATGCTACAAATATATATTGAGCACTTTTTAGGTGTCAGGTATTGTGCTAAGTATTAGGGTGCAATAATAACTGTTGTAGAGATAATTTTTAATTTTTAAAGTATTTACTAGGATATCCATATTTGTCATTTTGGCCCGTAATCCGTTATGTCTCTTCTGAACTTTGACTCAATCAATTTTTTGGTATGCCATTTAATTTCTAGAATTTGGAAACCTAACAAATGCCAGAACAGCTACCTTATTTCTCAATGGCAGTACCTCAGATTTTTGTTGTTGTTGTTGTTCTTGAGATGGAGTCTTGCTCTGTCGCCCAGGCTGGAGTGCAGTGGAGCCATCTCGGCTCTCTGCAACCTCTGGCTCCCCGGTTCCAGCGATTCTTCCGCCTCAGTCTCCGGAGTAGCTGGGACTACAGGTGTGTGTCACCCACCATGGTCAGCTAATTTTTGTATTTTTTAGTAGAGATGGGGTTTCACCATGTTGGCCAGGCTTGTCTGGAACTCCTGACCTCGTGATCCACCCGCTTGGCTTCCCAAAGTGCTGGGATTACAGGCACGAGCCACTGCACCCAGCACCTCAGATATTTAACAATATGTTTATTTTTTCCTATTCAACTTTATTTCAAAAAACATTTAAGGCCAAAAGTTGAAGTTTTATCACTAACATCTCTATGGAATATTAAGATAAAAAGGACGTATGTTACATACAAGTACAGTATTTTCATGTATTTGAATAATGCTATTGTTCATATTAAATATTTGTATGTAGTCATGTTTAGGATATTTTACAATTTTATTTACATGCTTTAAATTATATGGAGCTTTCCTGACTCAATGAACTTATGACTAATTACTCTTTTCTTTAATCCACAGGAACAAAAGGACACAAATCCCATAATTTTCCATGACACAGAAAATGTACGAATGTTACTTTTGACAAAAAATAGATTTTCTTCCCATCCTTTAGAAAATGAAAACATACACCATAAAGGAACAAATTTTGTTTTAGAAAAAAATTGTGAAATCCTCAAATCTATAATTGGCGATCAATCTGTTTCTCTTATCAAACCCCAGAAAACTATACCTGCAGCACAGAGAAAAGCTATACAGGTCTCCATGTCTTTTAAAGCAGACCACACAATTGTAGATGATAAACTAAAGAAGAAAATTAATAAGCAGACACTAGAAAACAGATCTTGGAATACACTCTATAATTTGTCACAGAATTTTTCTAGCCTAACAAAACAATTTGTGGGTTACCTTGATAAAGCTGTTATTCAAGCAATGAGTGTCCAAACTGGAAAATTTGAAAGAATGTTTTCTACATTAAAACCAATGAGCATACCTACATCTAGAGCCTCACCTGATAAATGTTACTCAAACCCTTTTAAAAATATATATAAATTAAATAATGTAACACCACTGGATAATTTGTTAAACTTGTCAAGTGAAATTTCAAATGCCTCATAAAATACCATGTATGCAGCAATATTTGAGTAACAAGAAGCAAATATCCAAATTCCAAAATTATAAAAGAAATTCTTCTCCAGATAGTAATGTCCTAATTGATTATATAAGAAAGCAAAACATAGAAATTAGAATTACAAGCCAGCAGTGGTCTGTTCGAGAACAATAAACAGTTTTAGTAAATAATAGGACAAAATTGGAAAATAAGTATTACCAAGAGGATCCAGTTCATGACTTTCTATTACCTCAGTTAGATTGCTCAACCATCAGCCTTCCTATAGTAAAGTCTGACTCAAGACCAAGAACGGCATAGAATGACTCTAGAAATGCACTGTTGAAAGCTAAATAACATCAATACTCTTGTTCTATAATTGAATATCAAATAAGATAAATATACCATTAATTTAATAAATGTGGAGTTAACTGTATATCAGCATTTCAGACAATCATCATCAATCGTATTACATTAGTAATTTGTGCAATTAAAAAAGCTTTGTAAAACTTTAGTTTTTTTCTTGTTGTTAGATGTTGGAACTTCATTACCATACAATGTGTTTTTGCAAACTTTAAACTTTTTTTCTGAATTGTTAAATAAAAGAATAACTATCCTTAATCTAAATAATTTTGGTAGCAAATCCTGTAAGGTATTAAACATTTTAAAACATTGTTATTTTACTGTTTCTCATTAACTCAAACAGTGTAAAGGCAGAATTCAACTTAGAAACAAAAGTTGCATTTTGAAAGTTTATTTGTAATCCATTTGTTTGGAATTCAGAAATATATTTCACATAAAAATAATCTTGGAAGTAATAAATTTCAGAATTACCTAATAAAAGCTTACTTAACATTTTATTCCATAGAACTTATGTGAAAATGGTAAAAAGCAATAATTTTGTAATTGCAATAACTGAAAGAGAAAACTGAGTGAGGAAAGAATTTTTCAATCTTGACTGTTACTACTTGAAGAGGAGGTTGAATTAAAGGCATTTAAGTTAAAAGGCTTTAGGGGGTCTTTTGGAACATTTAAGGGTGAGGAGAAAAACTGGTTTAGGTTCCTCGCTTCTGCTTCAGATTTGAGATTTTCTTTATTATGCATTATCATCAGTACTATTCAGGAGCCTCTTCACAACGAGAGGGAGGTTTGGACTCTCAGAAAGAATGACAAGGAGAGAAAAATGGAGACTGAATGAGAGAAGAGAAAGAGAGAAAAGCTTTGAGATAAGGTGTTGGGCTCAGGTCTGAAGGAGGTAGAGGAGGGACCTACCAGGTTCTCTTTCTTCTGGTTGCTGTCTGGTAAAAGGAGAAGCTGCCGCGGCTCCAAGTTATGAAGTCATCTTTCTCTTTTCCTCTTCATTCCTTTCTGGTTGTTGTCGCATGTTCTCCCCGTGTTTTCTCCATCCAGACTTACTGCAAAGCAGAACAGTTTCCCTAACTACACTGCCAACTCAATGTAAAACACAAGTTCTTTTTAAGTACTAACAATAAAAATAAGAATTAGAAAATATACCTAATATTAGTATAAGTAATAATACTAGTTTCTCTTGATAGTATAAGAGAAAAAAGTGTGGGCCTTGGAATAGGGCAAGATAGGAGCGAATTGCAGCAAATAATGTAAACTAAGCCTCAGTTTATTGTATCTCCACCTGAAAATGGAGACAACAATAATTTATTATACTACTATTCTCAGCATTAAATAAAATAGCATCTAGTACTTTGAGCCTTGTAGCATTCAATAGAAATTTCCTTTCTACTCCCTCCCTTTCCCTTTAAGCCTGCTCTTAATGTAAGTGTAATTTCTTTCCTTTTTCTTTTTGAGATGGCATCTCGCTCTGTCACCAAGGCTGGAGTACAGCAGTAGCACTATCTTGGCTCACTGCAACCTCCGCATTCTGGGTTCAAGCCATTCTTCTGCCTCAGCCTCCCGAGTTAGCTGGGACTACAGGCGTGTGCCACCACACCTGGCTAATTTTTGCATTGTTTTTAGTAGAGACAGGGGTTTCACCATGTTGGCCAGGCTAGTCTCAAACTCCTGGCCTCACATGATCCCCCCACCTTGGCCTCCCAAAAAGCTGGGATTACAGTAGTGAGCCACCACACCCAGCCAACGTAATTTCTTTCTTTTTTTTTTTTTTTTTTTGAGACAGAGTCTTGCTGTGTCGCTAGGCGCCAGGCTGGAGTGCAGTGGCGCGATCTCGGCTCACTGCAACCTCCTCCTCCTGGGTTCAAGTGATTCTCCTGCCTCAGCCTCCCGAGTAGCTGGGACTACAGGCGCGTGCCACCACGCCCAGCTAATTTTTGTACTTTTTAGTAGAGATGGGGTTTCAACATGGTCTCGATCTCTTGATCTCATGATCCGCCCGCCTTGGCCTCCCCAGTATAATTTATTAAAAGATACTCCCTGTAGTCTCTCACTTCTATCTTTTCTAAATTAAATACTAAACTTAACTACAGTATTCAGATTTTAACCCCAGCTGGGCTGAAATTACACTGAGAATTTTTGTATAAGTATCTTTGGAAGTTTCTGCTGGAGCTTGTGAGCTTTACCCTTTAAGAAGGCACTAAATCAACTTTAAAATTACATTTGGCTGAGGATTCTCCATTAAAGCAGCTCAAGAACAAGGAGTAGTGGATTAGGAAAGATGACAACCTAAGCTCTACTCCAGCTTTAATCTATCATCTCCTAATCAGCTGCTAGGGTCTCATAAGCAGCAGACTGCAAGGCCAGGCTTGGTTTCTATTCTGATGCTGAGATTTGAGTATGGCCTTGGAGGCCAGTCTCTGAGTTCCAGGGTGAAGATGGAGTGTGCTGTTTCCTGGGACTAGCTGGCCAGTTGGGATCTGTGGATTAGTTTAGGGAAAGGTTGCCTTTGTCTCTCTGTAAATGCTCCTGGTCTTATTGGCCCCAGGAGGCCAAGAAGGAACCACTATGTCTATACAAAAGCTGGGGCTGGACATGGTGGCTCATGCCTGTAATCCCAGCACTTTGGGAAGCAGATGCAGTGGATCACAAGGTCAGGAGTTGGAGACCAACCTGACCAACATGGTGAAATCCTGTCTCTACTAAAAATACAAAAATTAGCTGGGCATGGTGGCATGTGCCTGTAATCCCAGCTAATCAGGAGGCTGAGACAGGAGAATTGCTTGAACCCAGGAGGTGGAGGTTGCAGTGAGCCAAGATCACGCCACTGCACTCCAGCCTGGGTGACAGAATGAGACTCCANAAAAAAAAAAAAAAAAAAGCTGGGAAATCAGAGACTGATGAATTTTCTTTCAAATGCCTCATCAGGGGACTGTGGTCTCTTATTTCTGTTACAAAAGCAAGAGGCCATTTGCCTGAGGTTGTCTTTGTACTTTGAGTTTTTATATAACAAACTGCAGCCTAACTTCATACATAAGCAAACTGAAACTTAGGAGTATAATAAATAGTTCAGTTTCATCTGATCACAAGCAGCCAGGTTTCATCCAATCACAAGCAGCCAGGTTTCAACCAATCACAAGCAGCCAGGTTTCAGCCAGGTTTCTGCCAATCATAGGTAGCCAACTTATCATACCAAGCCTAATTAAGGCAGGCACTTAGCTGTAGCCAGTCAGGTGATTTCTCTATTTTGCTTCTGTGTTCAGCCTATAAGACCTTCTTACTAACAATGCTAAGCAGAATTATTTGCACCTCATTTGGTTCTGAGTGCTGCTTAATTCATAAATTGTTATTTGTTCAGATAAACTGTGAAATTTAATTTGTCTAAAGTTTTTCTTTTAACATTTTTATAGTACCAGCTCACAGTGGGCAAGGCATTTACCTTCTACCCCTTACAGAACTATGGTCACTAAGGTACTACAATAAACAGAGCTGAGCTTCCCTGAGCCAACTAGAAAAAATAATAACCCAAATAAAGGCCTAGCAGCTAAATGCTTTTATGTCGACACATAATGGTCTTGGAGTTAATTAACATGATGATTAAAATATATTTATCTAAAATAAGAACCTCTGGCTACAAAATTAACACTCTTCACCAACATTCTTAAAAGAAGCCAAAAAGGTGGCCAGGCATGGTGGCTCACGCCTGTAATCCCAGCACTTCGGGGTCCCAAGGTGGGTGGATTGAGACCATCCTGGCCAACATGGTGAAACCTCATCTCTGCTAAAAATACAAACATTAGCCGGGTGTGGTGGCACGTGCCTGTAATCCCAGCTACTCAGCAGGCTGAGGCCAGAGAATCTCTTGAACCCGGGAGGCAGAGGTTGCAGTGGGCTGAGATCATGCCACTGACTCCAGCCTGGTGACAGAGCAAGACTCCATCTCAAAAAAA